GAAATCGTTCAGAAAGACAGTAGAAATGCCATTTTACAGTTCTCAGTAAGTGAGGGCAAATGCCCTACATGTGGATGCCTATGTAGTCTGATGTACATGCTTCAAAGAAACAAAGTCTGCAAGCAGCAGTGAAGGCCATGGGTGAAATGTACAGTCTCTCAGGCTATGGTCCCGCTTCAGTGGTTCAAAAAAGAAAAAGCCACATCTTGAAAGAGTGGCAAAGGAAGTCATGTCCACGTTTCAATTAGAGAAAGGAGGTAAAGGGACATATAGTGAAGAGCTCCAGATAAAGGGGGTTTGGTGGTGACAGTCCATGAATTCCACAGGGCATAGAGGTTGGGAAGGTCTGGGAAGGGTGGGAGACTGGACCAGGTGAGGCAGCGTTCAGCGCCGTAGGGACATGGATCTAGGGCATGATGGGGTCAGTCCTGCAGTCTCCTAAAGTGTGGCTCCTTTCTCTTTGGGCTCTCTCTTCATGTGCTGAGGGGGACGAATGGTATCGGGCTCATGATAATCATCTTTTCTAGAGCATGAGGGGTTCTGGAGCCTTCCTTTTTAAACTTCTCTACGTGGTGTTACATCTGGGAAACAGGCAGATCTTCATGGAGCACACACATGGCTCTATGTAGACTTCTCTTAAGTCCTGTTACTGGAGAAGTCACTGTGCATGGAGGGAGCAAGGCAAGCCCGGATGCTATTTCAGATCTTAGGAAGGCTTAAACAGAGCTACGGCACTGAGCATTCATGGCAGAGACATGAAGATGGTGAGATCCTGCTCTGGCTGGTGTAGCTTCATTGGCTGAGCCTCATTCTGCAAAGTGAAAGATCACTGGTTTGATTCCGAGTCAGGGCACATGCTTAGGCTGCGGGTTCGGTCCCCCGTTGGGGTGTGTGTGAGAGGCAACCAACCATTGTTTCTCTCTCACATTGATGTCTCCTTCTCTCTCCCCCTTTCCCTCTCTGAAATAAATAAATATTTTTTAAGAAGATGGTGAGATGTCTTGTGGGCTCAGTGCCTTGGGGCTGTTCTTTCATTATGGTATTTTCTTTTTGACCACAGTGGTGGCCAAGGCTGAGCAGCAGCCTTTGACTGTAACCTTGAAATGCTGTCCATAGTTAAAGGAATTTCCAGACTTCGATGTGGCCTCTGATAGGCTCAGGGACATCTGTGTCTGCAGGGTCACAGAAATATTTTATTCTCACACTCCCCACGTATATCAGCTTCTCAGGGATCTCCATCCACGGGTCACGCACAAAGGAGAGTGTCGCACTCGTCTCCTCTGAGAAAGGTGCTGCATTTGCTGGTGGTTCTGCTCCTTCCTGTGACAGTTCTGGACATTATAGTGACCGGAGGCAATGTGGAGAGGAGAGGGAAAGAGGAAAGGAAAGCTGACTGATGTGGCTGTTGATTCTGTTGTGTACATTCTCCTCACTGTTTCCCAAAACCCTGTGGAATGCTTATTTTGTACTCATTAAAAAAGATTGTCAGAGATGTTAGGAAATGTCCCCAAAGAGATGCCAGGGAAGCAGCAGAGCTGGGAGTAAAATCTGGAGTTATCTGACCTGAGAGCACTTGCTGCTTTAACCAAGTAAAAACCAGGATACTGGCACTGACAACCCGATGTTCCTTCTCCAAATGTCCATGCAGTCAACTACCAGACACAGGTTATTCACCCTGGGCAGAGGGCTGTGCCAGGACCCAGGGGGAACACAGAGGTGGATAAGGAACAGCCCCCGAGTTCTAACATGAGCAGCCTGTGTGCAGGGAGGTGCGAAAAGTTAGCCCCAGAGGACCAGACCGTATTGTTGCCGCCGCTTTTAGCGTCAGGGTATCAGATGCTGTGAGTTTGCTGTGCTCTGGAGGCTTCCCAGTGAGGAGGAGCGTGGACAGTTCAGTTTGCTCAAGTGAAAGAATGTGTGATGCAATTTAACATGACAAAGCCATTTTTCCCCTCATTTTGGTAATTGTTGAAATTTTAAACCTTGATAACATTTCTTATCCTCACTTAAGAATATGTTGATTAGTTTTAGAGAGAGAAGAAGGGGTGAGAAAGAGAGAACCGATGGGTTGCCTCCCCCACGTACACTGACTGGGATCAAACCTGCACTTTTTTGGTGTACTGGCTGATGCTCCAACCAACCGAGCCACCTGGCCAGGGCACTGATAACATTTTAATACATTGCTTTTTTTGTCTTTTCAATACATTGCTGTTTTGTTTTTTACAATATTGAGTTCCCAGTGTATATACAGTTTTGCATTGTCTTTTTAAAATTGAATATGGTAAGAAATTTCCCACATTATTGGAATTTCGTTATACATGTCAGGGTTAATGACTTAGTAATCAGAGTAGAAACAATCTGAAGACAGGGAAGGGAACACGTGGGGACGAGGTGGCCCAGGAAGAGGATGCACTTTGGCCCAGTCAGTGTTGGGAAGAATTTGGTTCCAAATGACCTGGGGACAGAAGGCTTAGGGGGATCGTCAGAGGCCACATGGCATGACTTCCACTTGTCAGTCTACTCAGCAAGTCAGGGCTGCCACCTGCTCTGTGTCCCTTTGCAAAAGGCTACTCTGGAGATCAAGCCAGTGGGAGCCCAAGGGAGGTCGTTCAAGCATCAGAGAACCCATTTCCATGAGCAGGCGTGTTCACTGATTGGGAAGGCATCCTTCAAAACTGGGAGCAAATGGGTGTTTTTAAAAAGTGGCCCCTGACTCTGACCTTTAGCCAGGGCCACTACTTTCCCCCACTGGCTTTTCCCTGCTCCAAAGCCAAGTCCACGTGAGCTGGCAGCACTTTGATTGGAAGCCTTGATAATGTTTTATGTTATATTTGAAAAAGGGGTAGTGAGGCTAAAATTTGACATTAGGGTCTTGCAGCAGTGATTGAGGGCCGTCAGCTTCGAGACAGCGCCTGCCTCCAATGCAGAGCAGAACTGCTCCTGCCGAGTAGGAGCCCGCATTCAGCTGGGCTCAGTAACCGGGCGAGATCGTTCTGGGGGTTTTATTTTTCCATGATACACGACTCCTTTACAAACCCTGATGTTTTTTCTGAGTCTGATAGCTCATGTGTGTGGTTTAGCGTGAGTTTGGGGTCGTTCCTCCTGGTGAAATCTTGCGCTGTCAATTGATGCTCTGATTATAATTCACACACACAAGATACTGCCAAAAAAACCTTTTTTTTTTTACTCAAAAGACCCAAAGCTTATGTAAAATTAAGTAACTAAAAATTAAATGCAGCTTCTATAGGTTATTTTTGTATATGATGAATTCTGGTCTGCCAAACAGTTCTGTAAGGGTTAGAAATATAATTTGCATTATTTTTGTCTTGTGTCATCATTGAAATTTTTATAAACATTTGTCTCCTCCCAGAGGATATTCCTAGTTAATTTTCTGAAATTTGCTCTGCTCGTTGTTAATATAGGTATTAACTGTCCACATTTTGCCCAAATTTTAACTAGTTAAAATTTCCTAGTAATTGCTATTTTTACATACAATTAGTAGTTGTCACAATTGTCATTAATTTTTGCAGTAGTGTACTATTGCAACAATAAATGCATGTTTATACTTCCAACAAATGATAGGATATTAATATATAAAGCGTGTAAGGAGACTCTTACTGCCAGTTGAGCCTAGAATGCTCACCTGTACTTAGGATATTCAGATATTTACAATGAGTCTGAATGACGTGCCTTGTTGCAACACCGATTAGAAATGGTAGTCTACATGTCATGTGACCAGGAATTATGCATAAGTTTAGGGATGCAAGATAGGCGGCAAATGTGGGTATTTGACTATTTGGTCATTTCTCTAAGCTTAAAGAATAAACTAATGCAAATTCAAGTAGATAATGTGGAAAGAAGTAGTCAAAAAATGTGGTTTTGAATCCTCACTTTGCTATTTGATTTTGTACATATTTATTTAGCACCTACTATGTGCTGAGAATTCAGCCACATACTAGAAACTCATCTTTGAGTAAGAGTGAGGCTGTTGTTCTCCACATGCTGATAATCTGGGGAGTTTAAACAGTTTCCACAACTGCGCTAAGCTTCTGTCTCCTCTCACTGTCCAAGCCTCATAAGGACGTTAATAAACATCCGGTGAGATCACAGGGCAGAACATGTCTCTTGCGCCGTGTGCAGAATGTATTTATGAGCATTCTGATTGTCCCGATAGGGATAGGGAAGATGGCACAGCTTTGCAGTCATGGAAACATGAGTGCAGGCCAGAACCTGGGTTTGAATCCTGATGCCACTGTGACCTTGGGTTTGTGGCTTAACCCCTCTGCTCTTCAATTTACTGCAAAATTGTAACAATTCAATTACTGCCTGTATTGACAAATAGACTAAAGAATGGGTGTATAGAATTCAGCATGGAATCTAGTGCACAGTAATTAGGCACTGAGGTAAACAGTTATGAAAATTCAGTACAATTTATCCCCATTAAAAAATAAGGGAATGAAGAGAGGTTATATCATTTATACAAGGCCACACAATAAGTTGCAGAGATGAGACTCAGCCAGGCTGTTTTGTTGCTAAAGCCCTTGGTTTTTTGTTTTGTTTTGTTTTGTTTTTTTCACATTTTGGGTGTCTGAAAATATTTTTATAGACGTAACTTGGAAAAATTGAAGGCTACCTATTATGTTCATTATGTTAATCAGTGTTTTTAAGCTTTCTCATTGGCTGGGCGTGTCCATTGGTCCAACTTTTTCCTCTCTCACCACATTCCCCATCAGCGGCTTGAATTTACCAGAGTGTGGGTGTGGCCTGGTGTCAGGTAAGGCCACATTAGCCCCTGGTCTCCAGCTGCCTCTCCATTGAGAAGGGACCTTTCTCTGCACTGAAACAGGGAGCTGGGCTCAGGTGGGTGAGCCAGGCAATGGAAGACAGTGAGCCCGCATCCCCTCACTGGACTGTGAGCATCCGGCCCGTTGCCCTCTCCTGAGCCACTCCCCCCAAAAAAGCTGACTCACTGTGTCTCATTTGTGTTTGTTTGAAATCAGCCTGCAGAATTACTCTCTGATGATGATGGCGGTGTCACAGGGATCTGACAGCCCTCGAGGAGACTTGGAAAGGAGCAGGAGAGACATCCTGAGGTCCACCAAGAGGGCATGGGCTCCCCTGGATGAGCAGCTGCCTCCCAGCCTCACCATCCCCAGGCTGGGTGAGCATCGGCCCTCAGGGCTGCCTGAAACTACCCTGCCTTGGGTGGAGAGGGATGTGTAGCAGCTTGTGGCTGGGGGAAAATGATTTTGGAACAAGGACTTGGCTTTGAAGATACCAGTGTTCCTGGCATGCTTCCAAAAACTTCTATGACATGGCATTTCTAACTTTCCCTACAGACACTCAAAGCACAGACCTTCTTGAAACAGACAGCTGAAGAGTGAACTCGGCCTCCTTTCCACTCCAGTGTGCCCCGTCCTAAGCCCCCAGGACCCCAGAGCAGTGCAGAGTCTGTGTCAGAGACATGAGGCCACACGCATTCCACCAAAAGTTTATTTGCTGGGTCCTACGTGAGCATCAGTCATCGCTTAACAGCTCAGAGTAATGACTAAGAAAACCCTTCTCCCTCCACTCAGGGGCATCCAACCTTTTGGCTTCCCCAGGCCACACTGGAAGAAGAAGAGCTGGCTTGGGCCTCACGTTAAATACACAAACACTAACAAAAACTGATGAGCAAAAAAAAAAAAAGAAAAGAATAGAAAAAGATCTTAAGTAAATTTACAATTTTGTGTTGGGCCGCAATCATAGCCATCCTGGGCCACATGTGGCCCATGGGCCACAGGTTGGACACCCATTGTAAATGTTTGATGGTTTTTCTTCTTTGTCCACCTCCCAATGCACTTTGTCTGATCACAGTACCTCAGCTAAAGAATAAACACCTCCACAGCCCACTGGCCTTTTGGGTTCACCAGACAGACACCTTGGGAGGGGGTAACTCAGCTACCTCACTGTTGGGTAGGATAAAGGTCAAAGAAAGCCATCTCAGAGGAGCCTTTGGCCACCAGAATGGAAACAATTCTTTAACAAGGAGTGCTGCCTTTCTGTCCTCCCCTCTTTGCCTGGTGACTCTTTGTTGTATTGGTGATAAAGATCCACCTTAAAAGACTGGGGCCTTTTTAACACAGGGTGCCTTTGGCAATCCTGGGAGTCTAGTGCAATTTGTCGCTGGAATGAATGCAAATTTGGTTTCTAACCTGGCAGAGAACTCCTTGCAAATAAACATCCCTGGCTAGCTGCCTTAGGTAAATGTCGTGATTCAATCAGGAGGGGCTCCGGGGTGATTTCCATCCCACAAGAGAAAGACAAAAGTCTAGTGTGCTTCTCCGCCTTTTGCACTCATGCCAGGTAATTTACACATTATTCTAATATCTCCCACTCTTCGGTGCTTTCCTTTCCTTCTCTTTTATGTTTTCTTTTTTTTCTAAGTTACAGTCTTTTGGCACATTTCTACTTCATTTTCAGGAACGGCTGATTATGGAAAACATGAATACACTCACAGAAACATGTAACTAAAGACATAGGAAATGGAGCCAGGGGGTGGTGGCCGAATAATGAAGCCGAGTCATTTCGGTGCGTTGTACTTTGACCGACTGTTCTGGTTCTTTTCTCGTTCGTAGACGATCCCAAACAAGAAAGTATTCAGCAGTGGCTGGACTCTGGATTCTTGTAAGTGTTTCTCTGTGCCCTTAAACGTTTCCTCACAAAGATCCATGAAAACAATGTGGGAAGCACTGCTGGGAAACCTGTGACACACCGGGACTTTCATTTCATTTCATTCATTTATTTATTTAAATTCAGAGTGAGGGGATATGGGAGAGAAGGAAAAGGAGAGAAATATTGATGTGCAAGGCATACATTGGTTGGTTGCCTCTCACACACCCTTAACTGCGGACCTGGCCTGCAACCCAGGCACGTGCCCTGACTGGGAATCCAGTGGTGACCTTTCTCTTCACATGCAGGTGCTCAATCCACTGAGCCACACCAGCCAGGGCTGGATTTTCATTTTATCTGGGTGCTTGACAGATTACTCTCTATTACTGTGAAAGTTATATGTCAGTTTAAAAGTACAAGACAGAATACTGTTTCTGTCTCTGGCTTCTCCTTGATTTCTGAAAGTCCCTTTTTAATAAAGCCCTAACCTTGCATTTACTCTTGTCTATTTAACTAAAAAGCATCTTAGCATAATTTATTTACACACCTTGTTGGATTCATAATGCTCCTGTTTCCTTCTAGTGTCTCTGTCAGTGAAAACTTTCGGCAAGTCATGGACCACACTGGTAAGGCGAGAGAACCCAGGAGCAGTCTTGCTACGTAAACCCGGGTAGGAGATGCATTGACATGTCTGTGCAAATAAACCGTTTGAAGGTGAGAATGATCAGAGGTTCTAAAGTGGAGCAGATCTCAGACGCCATCCAGGGCCATCACTTTGCTTGGTGAGGGGACCGAGGCGCAGAAAGGGTCGCGGCTTGTCCGGCGGCAGGTGGGGGCTGCCAGGCAGCTCCGACAGTAGCAGAGAGCTCACTGGGTTCTAGGAAGGCATCTTGTGAGACATGACTCTGGAAATTGTTTCGTTTTCCCTCACAGTGTATTGCAGTTTTATTTCTAAATCTAGTTTCCTTCTATTTTGTGGTCTCAGAATTAGATCCTCTCTAACGATGCATTTGTTCTCAAAAAGAATGAATGAGCGAATGTTGCAGCAAACAATGCAAGTCTGTATTTCTGAGGCAGAACATGTATCAGACTTGTTACACCGAGATTTGATAACATTATAATGAGAAAAATTTAATTACAAGTCTCACAGTTTCTGTCTTCATTAAGTGAAATACCGTATTTCATAGACTCCAAGACTCCTCAGCATAAAATGCGCTCACACTTTGTTAAGTTCCAGTTGGATGAGAACGTGAACAACAAGCCATAACAATTACAAGCGAAAGGCAATCCTGATACGTCCTGATTTTGCACATGTTAAAATGCGAAAAAATGTGTTTTTAAATTGATGAAATGCCATGAATGATGTATATAAAAATGATATAAATTAGGTGTTTAATGGTTAGGGAAAAAATTACTAGTTTAACTGTTCCTTAGTTGGTTGTTTTTAATTATTTCACTTTTTCCACTGCCTTTTAAGTTAAGTGACCATTGGCTGCAAACCAGTTGAAATTTGGGATTTTTACTTTAAAAGGTGTATCATTGAAATTTTCTTCTTTTCTAAGCTTTATTTTTCCTAACGTAAAAGTTCCATGATGCCAAAATCTCTGGAGATATTTGTCCACAAATTGAAATTAAGTACCTCTCTTCATCATAGTTCAGACTCAAGGAAAGACAAGAACTTCAGAATTATAGCCAGCGTTTCACATCCCTGACATTTCAAGTTGCCCAGATCAGAGCGAGCCGCTTGGCACCAGGTCTGGGGTTGTCAATAACTGTATTAAAAATTTTACTTCCCCCAAATGAAGCATGAATCACGGCCCTTCCCCCTCTGAATCAAGTCAGTGATCTGGAGCGGCTCAGACATGAGGCGGGGACCCGGAGGGGAGGCAGGAGCTCGGGATGGCTCTGAGACCCTGAGATGGGAGGTGCAGTTTCCATCTGCCGGTCCTGTTTCTTCAGCAAGGTCGCTAATCATAATAGAATGGCTCCTCACAGGTTTAATGGAGCCTTCCCTTCTACAAGGCCCTTTCTCATCCATCACTTTATTAACCCAGTGACCTGCATGGTAGCGAGGCGGGCCTTCATTTGTGTTTCACAGGTGAGGAATCTGGGCATGGCAGGGTCAGGTGCCGTGGTCACCGGTCACGGCTGGTTAGTGGCAGGTGGAGAAACTTGAAGCCCGGCCCCCCATCAGCCCCTCTGTGTGCTGGTGAGAGTCGTGGGGAGGTGGATACACACTGAGTTTAAGGGAAGCCAGGTGCTGCACTGGGGCATGTGAAAGCTGGGACAGGACCAGCAGCTGGGGACCTGAAGGTCATGCAGAGAGGGGCAGGGAGAAAAAATGTGGTGAAATGAAAAGGAACTGAGGAGGAGGAAGAAAAGTTGTCATGACTGGATGGAAAAGCCTGTGACAACCCCCACGATTCTAGTACAATGCAGAATGGCACAGTGGTTCCAAGGATGGCCATCCTAAGTTACCGGGAACTTGGCAGCTTAAAGAGAAATACATTCTTTTCCAGGTCTGAAAGCTGGAAGTGGGAAATCAAGGTGTCAGCATGGCCACTCTCTCCTGAAAGGTTCTAGGGAAGAATCTGTCTCTGCCTCCTTCTGGCTTCACATGGCCCCTGCCCACCGTTGGCGTCCCTTGGCTTGTAGCCGCATCATCTGTTCTCCACCCACGTTCACACATGGCTGTCTTTCCTCGTGGGTCCTCTCCTCTTATAAGGACACCAGTCATTGGATTTAGGACTTGGGGCCCTTCAGTAATTCTATCCTCAAAGACCTTGTTTCCAAATAAAGGACACATTCTGAAGTGCAATTTCAGATACAGAAATAAAATTGGGGGTGATATTATTCAACCCACTACAAGTAGAAATCATTCTGAGGCTAGTTTTCTTCCTTGATCACTTCCAAAACTTGATGAACTGAGGTAGCAACAAGATCCAGGAGCCTGCCCATCTTCCAGGTGCCCCTGTACCGCCCACAGGAAACCGTCTATTGGAAACCGTGCCTCACGAGGTCCTTCAGTGGGGCTCAGATTGCAGGCATCTTGGGCAGCCACCCAACTGCTTGCAGTTACTATGCTCAACATGGAAAGAAGCACTTACAAAGTTGGAGAAGCAGTTGGTAAAAGGGCACAGTTAGTTAAAATGATAGCTGGAAGGAAGAATGGAGACGCGGGGTTTCAGGAGGTACATCAGCTGATCACGTGGCCCAAGCAGTCCAGAGGTAGATGTGGTACCTCCCACTGGCCACCCTGGAGCAGTCCGTAAAGCCGGGTCTCCCCTCTGGGACCTTTGCTCTGGGGGCTTCGAGGGCTCTTCTCCTGCAGCATCACCTGCCCAAGTTTATTTACTGATAGAAGTGATTTGGGCTTCTCCTCTACGACACATACCTGCTCTTGCCCCTTCTTTGGCTGCCAGTGATGCCTGCATCTCATGTCTCACTAAAGCACCTCACAAAGGATGGTCCCTCCCCAGTCTGCCCTGTCTGTGACAAGTATTAGGGCATCTGAGCTGAGTGGTCTGACAGTCTCATGTTTAAGCATCTCCAGGACATCATCTTCTCAGGGCACATGGATGGTTTACAGGGAAGAGCCACATGGGCATCCTTCAATTTCTTACTCCTTTCCTCTCCCAGAAGCAGCATGCTGAGTGCAGGTTAACTCCTCTCAGTGGTCACCAACTGCACAAGCAAACACATGTGATTCTCATTTTGGGCTCAGTGAGGACCCACAGACCTTCCTGTGACCACAAACACACAGTACAGTCAGAGGGCCTTGGGAGGCAGTCATGGTGCTAAATGGACCATGGTCCTGATGGTCCTTACCAGGCTGCTGACTCCTTAACCCCAGATTCCAGATGGAGATGCCACTGGAAAACAAACAAACATCAGCCATGACTCAGGGTGTGTTGTGATGCTGCAGGGCCAGGTGTGCCCACCAAAGGCACATGTGGTGTTAGGTTTACACAGCGAGTACTTGTTCAGCAGCATATCTCAGCCCGACTGTGAGTGGGAACACTAGCACTAATTCCCACAGCAGAGGGACTGTGTCCGTCAGAGATCCACTTGGTGTCATGGATTATTTGATGGGTGGTTAATGCACTTGTCCTTTTTTAATATTTAGATATTTCTTCTCCGGTCCCCAAGGAGATCCCTGATGAATAAACTCATCTCTTTCCACAAGGAATTGATTAAACCATAAGAATTTACAAAATCAAATTTTAAACATTGTGGTCTCAATTATAAGAAAAGGTCAAAGTCAATCCAATGAAACAGAGTAGATGTTCCCTTAATGCTTATAAAAAGAAAGCTTTCGGAGCAAAGAGCTGTGCTAGGCAGTGGGTACAAAGATACAGAGTCCGTGGCTCCTGCTTTTAGGACATCACCGACTCCAGGACCGTCACAGTCCGAACGCAGCCTGTACGTTTTCTAAAAGACTTTCTAGTCTTATCCTCTCGGACTACATCCCTAGTTCTTTTCTTTCTTCAGCCAGTTACTTCTGCCTTAACATCTTTCTGGTTCTGCTCACCTCTCACCCTTCTTTGGAGTCCGGACTTAAGTTCCATAGTCTCAATAAGGCACTTCCTGACATTTGCACTAAGAGATCTAGTCACTTTTCTGAAAATCAGTCATATCCGTTATGACTTCTGTGGCCTTTGGCCCGTGCTGCCTCAAATTATTAGGGAGATGGTCAGCCTCACAGACAAAATTGTAAGTGCTCCTGAGGCAGGAGTCCCCTCTAACTCGTCTGATTTCTCCAAAGCGAATCAACAAGAGGATCTTAGTAAGACTGGTCCCTGACGAGGACCGTGTAGTCAGGTCGGGAAATCTTCAAACAGGAGGTGAGACTTGAACTAGTCAGTCAAAGAGAGCTATGGTTCTGAAGAAAACAAAGAGGCAAAGCAAGACCAGTCATTTGGTAGAAGCAAAGGGAGCTTGAACAAAGTCACAGGCTGCAGAGAAAATCAAACGTGCGCAGGACTGCATTCAGACGTGGTCAGACTGGAGCGGTGGTTTCGGGCTCGGGAGCAAAGGTACAAATGTGTCTGTTAAATCCATTAAGTAGGGTGTCATCAGATGCCTTAAAGTCCAGAAAGGAGTTTCATTCGATGCCTTAGGAGAGGGATGGCAAAGCAGTGTCATCTTGGGTTCTAATCAAAGGACAGTTGGCTATAACCGGGGTGTGTGTCTAGTAGCATTTTGAAGCCCTACCTTTGTCCACCTGAACAGAGGGTCACAAGTCATAAGTGACAGATGCCAGTGGAGTGACAGATGACAAGTGGCAGTGAAGGAGGGCACGCACCTTGGGATGAAGCTACTGTGACGTCACGCTCGGGGCGGGTGTCACAGTGGGTTAGAGAGGGTGAGTCAGCAGCAGTCACATCCATTATGGCTGCTATTCATATGACACTAAACAGGTATGCGGATAAAGAAGAACCAAGCATTACAGTTGGCTTCAAAGTTTTACACATGAGTGAAAGGAGGAATGAAGACCGACTCTCTCTCCCTCTCTCTCTCTCAGAGTATAGATTAATAATTCACCAAACGAGACAAACCCTACTGACTGCCTCTGCTAATAAGTGCCTCGGTCATGTAGGAGTTAAGTATACAGAAAGCTGCAGGATGCTATTATTTTAGAGCCCTGTGAAAATGTAATTTGATTAGTCTATTGGATGATATTCCAAAGAACCAAATGTCTTCCATGAATCAGTCAGAAATGCTTAGGAAAACCAAAATAAAAAATGCTTTCTAAGCCAATAAAGGTGCTAATTAGTGCCTTCTGCGTATCTCTCGCCATCTTCCCCAGTAATACATTTTGCAGGGTTAAGTGCGGTGTCTGCTGCTTCAGATGGCAGGCGTCCACCGAACAGTCGGCGGGGTGGCTGCAGACTCGAGTCTCTAAAAGGGAATCAGAGCTGGCATTTTCACCCAAGCAGTGGGCTGCCCTGATAGGGCAGGGCACGTTTTTTCATGCTGCAATTCTCCTCCAAACCAGCCCTTGTGAAACTGGGGAAGAGTAGGGCCTTTATTTGTTTTTTCCTTTCTTCATCCCCTGGTGCTTTTAGAAAGTAAAATCTCATTTTATAAAACTAATAAGGATGTCTTGGAAGGGGAAATAATTGGAGAATATATCAAAACCAAGCAACTAGAGAATCTAGTGAGGGATGAAGGAGGCCCTAGCAAGTAGGCTTTGTGGCGAATGCAGGCCCCTCTGTAAGGGTCTCAGCTTCTGCCCAGGGCAAGCCTGGTGCCTGTAGAAGCTGGAGAAAATCCAGGGCAACAGGAGCAGTTTGCTTGCTCTTGCTCTGATCCGAGCAGCAGACTCAAATGCCCCTGGGAGCCAGGCAGGTAACCACTAATGAACCGAGCAGGCAGGACAGAGAACAGAATTGCAAAGCACTTCGCCCCCAACAGGCTGCTGCCCCCAAGAGGCTGGGGCCCATGTTGCTGGATTTTCTGAGCTTGAAGGAAATTCTAGGAATCCCAATGCTGGTGAGCACTGGGCCACCAGCTTGTGCCACTCAGTTCAAGTTCATTATTGAAAACAGGTGACCTGACCCTGATAAATTCTGATCAGGCTCCAGGAAGCTTACCTTCCAAAGTGGCAAAAGGAAAGAAAAATAAAACTAAAGCAACAACAGCAACATTCCCACACCAGGCCAGGAATGATAACTTCACCCTTCTCTGCACAAGACTCTCGGCTGCCAGGTCAGAGTGTTGGAAAGGCCAGTGGCTCTGTTACCAGGACTCAGGGCACCCGGACATGCCAGAAGGAAATGGAGCAATGAACCAAATTAATTTTTCATAATTTTATTATGACTTTAAAAATGGGCTTCTCTTGTGAATTTTTAAAAAATCATATTGATTTTCCCTGGCTGGGTTTTTTCCAAAGTCTGAGTTTGGCAGCCGAGCAGGCTTATGTGTCTGATTGTAGTAGGTGGAGATAGACGTTCATGTCACTTTAAACGAGATCAAGGAGAAAATGTGTGAGTCCCACAGAGGATGTAAAAGCCAAATCCGTGCATCAGAGAGGGAAGGATCAGGTGAGGGGGTCCAAGCACCCCAGCTGTCCTCCCTCGGCCAGTGATGGCTGGGCCTGATGGGGAGCTGGAGGGTGGAAGGTGAGAAGGCCCTGCCCAAACAAGGCTGAGGTTTCGTAAGGCTTTCACCTGTGTCATTGGGCCAGGAAATACCCTTCCAGTGACCCGGCCTGAGCCATTTTGCACATTCGCTGGAGAACATGTTGCCTTTAGGGGCTTCTTTTCCTCCTCTGGCTTCCCTTGGTTTCCTGGCAACCAGATTGCTCCCGAACATGGATGGCAGGGCCATGGGCTGTGGCCCATGGAGTGTGGCCACCAACTCTGCATGGGCACTAGAATCTTCTGAAGACACCCTGAGCCAGGACTGCAGAGTCTTCTGGTGAGCAGATTTTCTGCAGGGCCAGGTTGTCCGAAACCGCAGTGAGGCTGAGCTAACTCTCCTCATCTGTACCTGAACATGGAGCGTTTCCTCTGGGACCGTTGGAATAATTCACTGTGGCCATAGCACCAGACCCCTGGCCTGGACATGCACATTCGTTCACACATCCCTGGAAACCCAGAGCAGTGTCAGACAACCAGAAAAGACTGAGACCATGGCCAGAGGGGCGGTCCCAGCAGGACGGGCAGATCCGTGGGATGCTTTAGGGGAGAAGAGACTGTCGGAAGCTCCAGAATTCGCTGCACAGGCCAGCCAGACACAAAGGGATCCTGCCTTCATGAGTTACATGCAAGGCAGTGAGTGGAGACAGTAGTGGCAGAAAGGGGAGCAGGGAGAGAGAGAGAACACATTGCTTAAAATTGGTAAGTATTTATTTTAGCTTCCACATTGGGCAGCATATTTAATTTATTATGGCATCCAGTCATTAATGTGACTGTCAAAAATTACACTGGGCTTGCACGTGTGACGTGGTTAATACAGTGGCAAATGGGCTCTCCCATGTGACAACTTCAATCAGGCAGCAAAAGCCGTGTGGTTTGGGAAGCCCTGAGACTGGGCTGAGTTCAGTGGCAGGGCCACCTCGGGTTAGCCAGGCCTGCTGTGGGGGGCACTGGGTGCTGAACAGATCACAGCCTTCGAACTCTGGGCCTCTCAGGTGCCTCACGGGGCGAGGGGGGAGCAGATGGGACCACACCATCCCAATGGCTCCCTTTTTATCTATGTAAATTATTAGAATTTTGCAAAAGAATTTCTCTGCTAAAACCCACAGTTTTAAAGGCACTGATGTAATGGGCAAAAAAAGACTGGAGTTTTGGTTCTAACTTGGTACATAGGTTTGAGTCAGATATTTTGACTTACATGAGTGTCTGTCACCAGATGTCACCTAGGACATTTGAAAAGTGGCACATTTGTATTATCCTCATGGTCATTCACCTCAATATCCCATCCTTGGCAGTGGCTCCCTGGAATGTTGGTGATGAGCGGTTATGTATTTTCTTCACGTTAGCAAATTCTGAAATTACTGTTTTTCCCAAAAACCCACTCATGCCGTTTATTCCGAACAAAGGATGGCAGATGAGCTTTATCTCATTCAGTCACCTGTTAGTGACTTTCTGGCCGTTTGGGGAGCATGTCCAGGCTCTGTGGGAAAGTGAGGTCATCCATTGGTGGCATCTGCCCCTGGGGCAGGGCTGGGGGCAGCAGCACTGGGCCATGCCTGTCCCTCCCCTCTTTGTGAGCCTGTGTCATAGATGCGTGTTTTAACTCCACGTGATTCTCGTGCTCACGGAGTCCCACCTGTCATGTGGAGCAGACTGTTATCTTACCTGCTCTCTAACTGCCTCTTTTTGCTGCAGTTATGTGTTCAGGGCCAAGCTAAGAATCTGCCATTTGCTCACACCTCGGTAACATACCACTCGTCCCCATCCCCCTAGACCAGTGTTCCCTTCCATCCCACACTCGCTGGGCCATGAAAAAGCAGCTGAACACTATGGGCATGCTTATCATCACCCCCCAAATTTAGCATTCAGAGACAGGTTCAGTGATATCCAGAGATCTCTTCGTAGATGCTACCCAAACGAGAGCTCTGGCTCCAGACCAAAGGGCCTTTCACTGCTTTCAGCTTTCTTTCATAGGTGTCAGCCACTCTGTTTGTTTTCCCAGGTTTCTCCCAATCTGTATTGTCTTTCTTACAGTGAAAAACGTCACATTTTTATAGCAGTGCAGGGTGACAACAGTCCCCGATTTTATTCATGTCGCTCGCTGGCACCTGGGAGAGCCACAAGTGACAGGACATGAGAAGACTGGAGAACCTTTTGAGAAACTTGCCCCACGTTCTGGGTGTGTCCTTGCACCAGGAAGGACACGGCCGTGCGGTGCCACACTGTGACACGGTTCCGAGTAGCACAGCAAGCCCAGACGGGCCTCTCTGCCCCGTGGTGTTCAGCCGTTCTGCTTGTCCCCAGCGCCACTAATCAGGCAAATGGACTTCCCACGTTACCTTTCTCACATTTACTTATTTGCTCAAAAATCTTTCATGGATTTTTGTATCCTGACAAATACATATAAACTCATCTTTCTGATTTTCAAATAAGCTATGAGACATTCTGTTGGCACTATGGTATTAAAAAAAAAAAAAGACACCCAGCAACTCACAAAAATAAGCTGTGGTATCCTGTAGGGCACTGAAATTTATTCAATCCCTCTGAGCCTCAGTTTGCCTCTAGCAAGTGGGGATTAATAATACCTATTTCATGCATTTGTTGTGGGAATTAAAAGAGTCTGTGCATGCACCTTGCTTAGCACATTGCCTCGCACAAAGTTAGTACTAAATAAATAGTAATATTGTTGCCATAATGAAAAACAAAGGTAATGATACATTTCTGGATCTGCAGCTTTTGACTGTGAATTGGGCTCATTACTCAAAGTGTGTCTCCTTTTTCATCTGAAAAATACGGGCGGGTCCTAAATTGTAAGGCTGTTGTGAGGACTCTATGGCACACATGGAAGGTGCTCAGTGAACACAAGTCCCACACATGGTTTTTGCCTGTCCCCACCCTTGCTTCTCGTCCTGCTGTGAACCACCAGAGAGAACTCCAAAATGCCCTGTTCTGACAGCCCTGCCGCTGAGCTCTGCCCTTGCTATCGGCTTTCTTCCCCCTCCTCGCCCCGCAACACCTCCCTTCCAACAGCCCGATCCTCCTCATCCTTAGAAACCCAAGACAAGCTCTACTCTCTTCATGAAGTCATTGCCGACCCAGAGCAAGGGCCACATTTCTTCAAGTGCAGAGAAGCCTCAAGTCTCATGCTTGTGTTGTCTCAGACATGCCTGTCAGTCACATGTCAGTTCATTTGAGGGTGAGAAAACCTTCCACGAGGTAAAAGGAAATCAAGTCTCCCTCTCCCCTTGTTGTTGCAGCTTTTTCGCCCGAACAAGGAATGGTCCATGTGACCGTGCAAGACTACATGAGGTAGGTGGCAGCGTCGGCACCACTTCCCTCTGGGGTTTTACAGCCACCTCTCTCATTGACGAAGTTGCAGTGAAGGGGGTTTCTTGATAATGACATAGGTCTTGGGATCTTGTCACTGATTGAGCCACAGTGCTTAGAATGTTTTCACCAGTCTTGAGAGAGAAATAGAGGTTCTTAACATGTTGTAAAGGCATGAGCAAATTAAATCAACAAGTGCTGACTTGGGGGGCATTTAATTAAGAGGTGCATAAATGGCATTCTGCTATAATTCAGCTGTCCATAAGGACCTGTTCATGAGACAGTTACATTCATGTTTTCATATTACCAGCACTATTAACCCCATGTTCTTTGCTGGACGATAATAGCTATAATTTTCAATGTTAGGTGGAAAGCAGTGAGAGTCTTTTAATTTGAGGAGAGTCTAGGTTTCAAAGCAGTTCCAAACAGCAGCATCAGCGCCACCTGAGAACTTAGTAGAACAGATTTGATCCCCACTCCAGACACTTCGAATTGGAAAGTCTAGGGATAGAGTTCCAAAATTGGTGTTTTTGCAAGACCTTCGGATGGCTCTGGGCACGCTCTGGTTTAAGGACCCCTGAGCTGGACTGTGAGCTTTTGGAGGTCAGGAGCTCTGCTTCCTGCACTTCAGCCGCTCTTGCACTTTCAGGATAATTCCAGTTAGTTGAAAACCAACTATTCAGCACTGCATCCCCCGGCCCCTACCAATTTACACCAAAAATGCTGCTTTGTCCTAGTTCCTTCCTTAAAGAATTAGTTGTTTTTGCTGGTCAAAAAGTCATAGAGACATAGAGGACAACAGAGGCAGCTCATTTTGTTGAAGAGAAAACCGAGGGTCAAGGTCAGTGACTCACTTATATGCTCCTGTGGCTTGATTAGAACTGGGACAACAACTGGCTTCAAGGCCAGCCCAGTTTGGGAGAACTCTGCTGAATGTTACAAAATGAGGTGCGACCCTCAAACCCCGAGTGAAACAGAGTGGTAGTGGGTCTGTCACACCTGGGGTGAAACAACAAACGGGAGGTCATCCCCTGCCGACCTTCACATCTCCTGGCGAGCCCAACCCTCTGTTGAAACTGTTTACAATTTGGAGACTTGCACTTTCTTGGCTTTAAGGTAGAGAAGCCACTGAACAAATAGGTGGGGCCCAGCTGCTCCTACTGACAATGGACTGGACGAGGGTGAATTCAGCTGCCCGCCAGGACACCTTGGTGTCCTTGGGAACACTGTTGTCTACATTGTTTCTTTGATAAATTCCAATGCTGTGCCAACTGGCTATTGTATCCGATGAGGTGAGACACAGCTCTGGTATGTCTGAGCTCTCTGCTGGCCAACTGTATCATAACAGGGTTCCATTCTGTTTGGAAATGCCTTCCAATGCCTTGCTGCACCAGCCTCCGTGGGTAGAGTGGCACTGGGTTTTTGCTGTGGTGAAGGAGTTTACCTGCTACGTGTGGTTGGCCCAGGAGCCTGGGGACAGCACTCTGAGATTGCCAACCGTGCATGGTGAAGTCCTTGGTGATGAGAATGATGAGGGTCACTTCAGTGGCTGCTCCCTGTATTCTTTCATCACATAATTTTACCTTCCTCCCGAAAGTCAGTGCCTAGCAAAGATCGTTCCTTAAAGGTTTCCCAGTGATTTGCCATCTGTCTAGAGTGAGACATTCTGCACCTTCCTAATGAGCACTAGCCGGCACCCAACACTTAAATTCTCATGCCTTCTGTAACACGACACTCATGAAAAGCAGGGCAGCGCTGCCTCTGCTATCCCTTCTTCAGAGCCATGGCGGTTGTGGGCTGTTAGAAATGATGAGGGCGTGCAGATCTGCTCTGGAAGGGAAACACTCGAAATGGCCTCCCAGGGGGCTGTCTCAGTGGACACATCTCATCGGTATCCACCCTCGCACCCCGCCCCCACTGTAGATCTCTGCACCAGTTTCCAGAAACTCCCACCCTGTCCAGAGGGACCAGTTTCAACTCCTGCCATTCCGCAGCAAGCACACCACAAAGGTACGTGATTGCCAGGCACTGTGCATCCAGGAAAGTCACTCTGTGCAGCAGTGGATTTCGTGAAATTGCAAGTAGGCACTTGAGAAATATGTGAATGGGTGGATGAGAGAATGAATCGGGATTTCTAAATTCCAACTTGCAAAATGAGTATAAAGGGGTCAGTTAAATCAACTGATTATATGTCAGTGAGGAAATGGTCATATATATTATCAGTGCCCTTTTTATGGAATTCCATACAGTGACAAAAGGAATAGGTAGTTTTATATACAATAACTTATGATCTTCAAGTCATATGTTCAGGAGGAAAAAAGCAAGATGCCAAAAGCTCTGGGGAGTATGTTTTATATTTATAAAGAAAATGTGCAAACTGTGAAGCATGTATGTAACTACCTAGAAAAATGTCTGTAAACATACTCGTGTGTAAATTGAGCAGGAATGGGGGTTAGAAGTGGTAGGAGTGGTGGCTGAGAGGAGAGAGATCCTTACATGTAATATAGTTTTTGTAAGAAGGTGAGTGCATTTTATGTTAAGGTGACTAGAAAAAAAGTGGCTTTTGGTTAAGTGAACTGTTATTGGATATATTCATTTTCTTATAAAATTAAACATAAAATAGTTAATGGCACTGAAAATACAGTTAATGACAAATCAGTCAATAATTACACTCTTGGCCATGAGGCTGTGAGCCTTCGGAAGGCAGGACTCTGCCTTTGCTCTTTTTCATGCCACGGGTGCCTCACAGAGAGTCTAGATCCTGAGAGATGTTCGACAAATATTTGTGTCGACTAATGAGGTAGAAATTTGTAGAACAGATTAAATTTTTCATGCACAATATATTCAGCAGATTTTTTGCAAGCATTTTTCCCCCTTGAACCTATTTTATGATACGGTGTCAAGTGATTGCCACACACACATCCCCCCCCCACCCCCAGTCCTTTTCAGTGATAAGACATTCAAGCCAAGCGTCAAAGGCCCACAGTAAGGTCATGGCTGTTCTGCTCTGCAGTGATCTAATCAAGAGCAAAGCACCAGACCCCTGTGGCTCATTAGAAAGTGTCAGAAGGATACTGGGTGGTGCCTGGTAAGTGGGCCTGCCTGGTGAGACTCTAGGTGGCTCTTGTTGAATGTGCGAATGGGTAAATAAGTGAATGGTAGTTAATTCAATTTCAACAGTGAAGTCATGAAAGTACATGTCCAAACTACTGGGGCATCTCAGATGAGCTCCTCAGGGTTGCATGTCAAGTAAAAGCCAACAAACTTCAACAAAAGAAGGTAGCAAACCTAGAAAAACCTCATGAAAAGTTCTGATTCCCACAGAGCCCAGGAGTTTTCCATGTTTAGTAACACAGTCACTGAGAGGTATAGTAATTAGGAAGTGAGTTTATATCTACAATTTCCTGATAACTGAAGGTTATCATTTTAAGTGCCAAAGCTGAATTAAAAACAATCTGATGAAAGCACTTCTGTTTCTTACTCAAGTACAAAACCACAGAGAACATATTTTAACCCAACCTACAGTCTTAAAATTATTGTCTTGAAACATCGCTCTTTGTAGCCTGTCTGCATATCCTCAACAAGGCTGTGTAGCTGAGGATGCCCCAGCCTGACACTCTTTAGAAATAGTCTTCTTTGAGTCTACAGTTTCAGGTTTTCCCCCCTGTTTTATGTTGCCATCAACTACCATCTCACTGTGGTTTTCAGGGCAGGGCCCTAGCTTCTGCCCTACCACCCCCCTCTCTGTCAAATTTAACATTTGCCTGTTGTACAATGGTAAGCCACATAAGTGAAGTCATGGGAATTGCGTGTAAGGTACGGCAAGCAGTTCCTGAGCGGGGGTGATGGGCTGTCCCTCAAGTACATCTGAGCTCTAGGAAATGCACCATCTGTCTATTCAGATTTCTCTCTCACTCAATTTCTAGCAGACTGGGGTGTTGAAGTGACTAGGAAAAAATGGCTGTTGGTAAGTGAACTGTTACCGGATAAAGATATTTCTATTTTTTACTGCAGCATTCCTGAATGGCTGGAATTCTGGGAAAAAGATCCGGTGGAGATTCTCTTGGATCTGGGGTTTGGTACTGAGGAGCCAGACATCTGCACGCAGATTCCAGCCAGATTCCTGGGTTGTGCCTCCGTGGCCAGAGGAATCAATGTCCGTGTTTTCCTTGAAGCTCAAAGGCAGCGCATGGACATTGAGAACCCTGACTTGTATGGTAAGTGAGGACCACATGGCTTCTAAATCATAGCAGTGGCAATTGTTACCAAGCCAGGGCTGGCTGCCCGATAGAAGCCAATACACTGGCTTTAAAAAAAGACATAACTTTATTGTGAGACCAACCAGCAAGGAGACAAGAGGCAGAGCTCAAATCTGTCCTCTGACCCAGAGTTCAAAGAGAGGTTGAAGGGGTTGAGGGGAAAATGCTGGCATGCAAAAGCACTGGGAGGGCAAGTTTCAACTAGGGGCTTTGGGACTTGGCCATTCATAGTAAGCTATGGCAAAGGGCTTCAGCATCTGACCTTCGTAGGCAATGGACCATTCGCTTCTGAGAGGATTCTGGCATTAAGCTTCTATTATGTCCCAGTCCTTTGGTTCCATGGAGTGGAGAGACTTTAGTTCTGGGTGTTATTGAAGTTACAATTCTCTCCTCTGTGCATGCTTTGGCCAAATGCTGTTTTCTTCTGTTGTCCCTGAAAAACAACCCAGTATCTTGTTGGAGATGGAGTAAGACCAGTTTCCGCTGGTTCTGTAGTTGCACCATGAGCAGTGAGATGAGCCTCAGTATGAGGAGAGATGGCCTGGGAGATACAAGTGGTGGCAACCTGCCCCTCTGTCGTGGCTTAGAATAGTTTATATACTGACCACTCTACATGTCCACTGCAGGCCTCTGTGTGTGTTGGGGGAAGGGAGATGTGTTCCATGTTGTCTTTATTCATGAACTTGGCCCCATTACGTGGAATATCACTGGTTGCAATGACAGAGAAAAGGTGGAAATGGAGAGCTATACTTGATTCTTATATACTTCTGCTCAGAATATGCACATACCAAGTCTATTCAGATTTTGTTGTCCAAAGTATGTCACATGGCCACACTTAAGTCCAAATGAGTGAGAAGGAACAATCCTACCATATGCCCAGAAGGAAGAAGATTGGCAATAGTGCTTAACTGCACTAATGTATACAACAGCCACTTACCCAGGAGGCAGGACACCAGGATCTGACAAGGCTTGTCATGAGTCAGTGGGCGACACCTTAGTTTCCTCATCTATGAGGCTGAGAACACTAGTTAGTCCACCATGAGTGCTAAGTGATGGTTGTTAACCTGTCAAATCTCCATGGTTATTGTCAGGCCTGCTCTTTTTCTCTAACTGGGAATGCTCTTTTCTAGAACAGTCCTAAGGATGTTCTAGGGGCATGTGTCCTGTGCCTAAATACTTTTGGGGAGAGATGCCTTGCTGTTAAAGAGGTTTATTTATTGTAGGATTTGGTTAACATGTTGTAGTGTACTCTCAGGCTCAGAGGCAGCATTTTCAAAAGCATTTAAATCCAATACCCCTCTCAGAGGAGGGATGAAGAACATCTCCTCCTTGGGATGGATTTTGTAGAATGTGGGACTGAAGAAAATGCCAAAATTCTGATTCTGAAGTAAGTTATTTTAAATAAATAAATTCTCTGAAAGGAACATGAGATGAAGTGTTTCTGTCAAACAAATCTCTTAGATTATTCATTTTCGTTCCTGTTTCCCCTGTCTTCCTCCGAGAGAATTTGATCTCAAAAATCTCAGCAATCAGATTTTCAAAAGACTATGTAAACCTGAAGGTGTTGCAATGTAATGTTTTGGTTTTATGCGTTTTTTTTACCTTTTAGAAGAAATTAATATCATTTATTGTTGTCTTCTCCTCCAAATCACAAGGAGATGTCCAGTTCTTTGGTCGATTCTTTATTTGGGGGGAATGGTAACACTTACCAATATCTGAGGAGTATTCGAGCCGATCTGTAAAGTCAACATTTTACAAATAAAATTGACGTGTGGATCACAGGGGAACCAGGGATTGGCCCCCGGTCCGAGGATGACCCACCCACTCTTATTCCCAACACTTAATGCTTGGTTAACAGTGCCATGTAACTCTTCTCATTCAACTTTTACTGGTAGCTACACTTTGGATTCAAGAAAGCTGGGAAGGTCGAATGTAAAATGAGGAATAATAATAAAGCTAGTTGGTTTTTCTAAAGACAGAAGAGAAAAGTATGTGTCATTCAAAGTCAATACAAAAGGTTCACACTTGGTAGAGAATCAGTTCGTTCCTCACTCCAGCCCTGCCCAAAGGCAAAACAAGCAAAACCTACTCATCCAATACCTCATGTTACTGTGCTCTCTGAATCAACTGAACCAATTAAATGGATAGGTTTTTGTCTTAGTCGAAGTATAAAAATCTGCTATAGGATGGATGTTAACACTATCATAAAAGTGGAATTAGGATTCAGTTGTTCCCTTGGGCTGACAAAAGAGATTTAGTTTCAACTAAAGCTGAATTTAGGGGTGAAGTGTAGTTAGAATGCTTCTGAAAACATTCAGAACACGAGATTTCCTTCAGGCCTTGAAGGAATGTCGTAGTCCTTTGGAGAAGCCCCTCCCAGTTTTCGGAGTAGGAGGAGGAATAGTCAGTACCTTCCCCTTTCAGGTGAAGGAAACAGGCACAAACCTGTGGTCACGGAAGAGTCAGTATCCTCGCCATGATGGTGGGCACAGCAGAACAGCATCCTCTCCCAGCCCTGTGGCCTTTGCCACTGCTGAGCTGGGCCACTCCACGTGCCATCACAGGGTCGACAGAAGGTGGCCTCCTAAAAACAGAGTCTTCTGTTTCCATTACCACTGGTTTGTGGTATCTGATGGTACCAAAATACCAAAAGTATTTCTCACCATTTTTTCAAAGGGGTTACATGTCCTGAAATTGGCCCTTGTTGCATTAGATCTCCCCCATACATGAATTAGGTCAGTACTTGCATATTGCCTAAATAATTGAGGCCAGATCATCCCTAAAGATTTACAAGTTCAAAAGCTGTTTTGTTTGGAAAAGCAAATGGGTTTTCACATCAATGACTGCCTCTTCTTGAAAGACTGAGGACAGCATATTTCTTTCCAGTGTCTTGCGCATTTACAAATTTAACAATTTCTATAACATTGTGCTTTTAAGAACAGATGTGAGAGATAAAGACAGGTATTATGACCCCCATTCTCTGGATGAAGAAACTGACCACCTACTGTGTGCCCAGCATAGGGCGAAGCAGCACACATCTACTAGTTCAATTACTTTGCAGTCACACTTGCAGTGATTGGTGGACCTGGAATTTGTATCCAGGCTTTCTGACTCTGTCTGCCCTGGTTTTTCCACACTCTCAGGTGACGATAGATGGAGAGAATGGAGGTGAGGGTGACGATATCTTCTGCCAAAAGTGGTGGAAGAAACTCAAGTTCACCTTGAATGAAAGAGCTGGGTTCATTTTTTGACATTTAGTTTAATTCACAAGAGTAAACTCAAAATAGATCCTCTTCTGTCAGTTTTATGGCTCTGCACACAATGAACTATTGGCATGTGTGAATCTACCTAGTTATGCATGTACAATGAAATATAAAAAGATATTCACTTTCCCCATGATACAGGAATGTCTCCTTATATGGAGGAATCACCTTTATAATAATTAGTAGCATGTGGAGAAAAATAGTTTTAGGAGCTTAAAAGCCTTCCCATCTTGAGAATCACATGTGTCAACCAACCTTTTCAGTATTGACTACCTTAATGCAATTTCTTTAAAAAGACCCAATCTAAAAATTGTGTTTCTTATATTATTCAGGCCGTTTCCGACAGCTGGAAATCCTGGATCATGTGTCCAATGCCTTCTCATCTTTGCTGAATGAGGTTAACACTCTGCAAAGTAAAGCTGAAGACAGGGATGGGGAGGAAAGTGTGCAAAGAACCTCCATGGGTGGAGCCAAAGAACATCGAAGAAGAGTGGGTGAACTTCTCAGGAGATCCTCAAAGCAGAACACCAGGGGAGACTGTAGTTCCAAAGTGTCAGAGTCACTGAAGAACAGGGAAGAATTTTCCATCCCCTCTGTACAACCAGAGCCTCATGGAACACAATTACCAGCCGTGACAGATAGCCAAGACGACAGCCATTTGCCTCCTTTGGCTGAGCATTGGTCTCTCCAAGCCTGTGATGACTTGACACCTTGCTGTCCTCCCCGAACTCTTCTGAAAAAGTGGTGGCCTTCCACACCCATGCTAGACAGGCAGGCTCCTCTTTCCTGCATGTCTGAGGGGTCAGTCAAGGACAGGATGCTGAAGGAAAACTGGACCAACAAGCTCAGGAGCTTCTCTGGTGTGAGCAGAGTGCCAGACTCCTTCGAAATGGAGGAGGTCAGTGCTGCTCCTCTGTGCTCAGCTGCCAGAGGAAGGAGTCACGGCATTTTTTTGTCCTCCTTTACCCCTCATCGGTCAGCCTCTCTGCAGGATGTCTTATTGTTCCAAACTCCTGCCTAGTCTAGGACGCTCAAGGTCATTGTATTTGCTTCATTTGGAACTAAATGAGTGTGAAACCAGCCTTTGCTGGTGCTCACTGATTTATTCGGCATCTCAGGGTGCTTTTCCCTTCTCTGACTTTCCATGTTTCACCTTCCTTGAGGGTCAGTTCAACCACTCCCCACTCGGTGCAATTCCTCCTCTGGGCTCTCACAGCCTAGGCAGCAAGAGCTTGCTGCAGAAGAGACTGTGTGTGTGTTGTCAATGACATCGCCCCCACTGGCTCCTAGGGGACCAGGTTTTGTTGTCAAGGGGATCTGATTTGGAAATACTTCCCCACGATGACTAATGTAGGGCCTGGGACAGAGAAGCAGGGTGGGTTTGGTTTTTATTTTTATGGGACCATTATTGTGTTCATTCACTTTGGCAGTTACTGATATCCACATAGCTTGACCCCCATTTCACACATCTCTGCTTTTCTACCCACACTTTCATCTATTCATGTACATGCTCACCATCCTTTGGATGACATCCCCACCTGTGCTTCTCAGTCTTTTTAAAAAATACAGGTACACATTTTCACTCATTTCTCGTTGCTTTTGTTCTTGTTTTTCAAGTACAGTTGTCTCCATTTCCCCCCACACCCCGGCCATCTCCACCTCCCACCCTGATTTCACCACATTTGGCTTTGTCCATGTGTCCTTTATACGTGTTCCTTGATGACCCTCCCCTGTGATAACCCTGCTGCCTTTCCCCTCCAGTATCTTTCCCACCCACCCCCCTCTGGTTACTGTCAGTTATTTTTTAAAGATTTTATTTATTTATTTATTTATTTTTAGAGAGTGGGGAAGGAAAGGAGAAAGAGAGGGAGAGAAACATCAATGTGTGGTTGCATCTCCTGTGCCCCCTACTCGGGACTTGGCCTGCCATCCAGGCAGTGCCCTGACTAGGGATTGAACTGGTGGTGACCCTTTGGTTTGCAGACTTGCACTCAGTCCACTGAGCTACACCACCCAGGGCTCAGTTCTTTATTTCAATGTCTCTGGCTCTCTTTTGCTTGCTTGCTTGCTTGTTTTGTTGATTAGGTTCCAGTTAAAGGTGAGATCATATGATATGTGTCTTTCACTGCCTTACTTATTTCACTTAGCATAATGCTCTCCAGTTCCATCCATGCTGTAGCAAAGGGTAGGAGCTCCTTCTTTCTGCCGGGTAGTATTCCATTGTGTAAATGTACCACAGTTTTTTTATCTACTCATTTGCTGATGGGCACTTAGATTGTTTCCAGTACTTGGCTATTGTAAATTATGCTGCCATGAACACGGGGGTGCATAGGTTCTTTTGGATTGGTGTTTCAGGATTCTTAGGGTATAATCCCAGCAGTGGAATTGCTGGATCAAAAGGCAGTTCCATTTTTAGTTTTCTGAGGAAATTCCATACTGTTTTCCACGGTGGCTGCACCAGACCACATTCCCACCAATAGTGCCCTAAGGTTTTCTTTTCTATTCTTTGCTATAATTACAAAGAAATCGCAGAAGAGCAAGGTCCCCTCCTTTTTCATGTTAAATTACTCAGAAGTAGGGCAGAGTATTTATATGCAAATCCCATGGGTGGGGTCTGGCCCTGTCTCCTTTGAGCCTTCTCCTGAGAGGCACTCTGATAGGCTCTGAGAGACTATCAGAGCAAGAGTCTCAGAGAGTCTCAGAGAGACTCTGCCCTGCAGGGGACCACAGTGTAGTGGCAGGGAGGGGCACAGGAACCAAGAGTAGGGTAGAGACAGTGACAGGGCTACCGATGAACTTTTATGTAATGTTTGGGATGTTTGGGATATCTGGGGAGCATGGAAAGGGTTCTTCACCAGCCAGGAAACTGAGTGTATCAAAGAATTTGTAGGAAGGAAGCCTTAACCATGTTGTCTGGGCCACACTGGGAGAAGAAGAGTTGTCTTGGGCCACACACTAAATACATTGCGACACAAAATCACACAAAAAAATCTCGTAATGTTTTCAGTAAATTTATGATTTTATGTTGGGCCACTTCCGTAGCCATCCTGGGCTTTGTGTGGCTCATGGATGCAGGTTGGACACCCCTGCAAAGGAGAATATGATTTAGCTGAATATGCCTATTGGTAGCCCTGCACATCCCCCAAAGGTATAAAAATCACTTCAAAATATGTAGTTATTAATATCTTAATGTCTATGCATATATGCTTATATATACCTATGTGTGTACCAAAAGTTATTTTAAGAACCTTAAAACCTTAGTCTGAATTTAAAACAGTAGCCTAAAAATGAACAAAAATTATAAATGGAGAAAAAGCAGACTTTTGGTCAAGTGCCCTGATTCAAAGATACACAGATGGCACTAAAAAAGAGTATTTTTAGTTCAATCTTGCAAAGATTATTTAATTTCCAAGTTAATAGTTGAATCACTATAAAGAATATCAAGAAAATCTGCAATTCATTAGTCAGTCTGCTCTATTATCTACCAAACAAGAAATTTCACCTAACTCCAGCCCTTTGGCAAGCCTCTTTTACCCTTACTAAATTTCTTCAGCTTCAAACTAGACTGACTCAGAGGAAGATAATCGATTGGATGCCATCTACATGTAAGTGTATAGGGCAAGAGAAATATATTCAGCCTAAAGAACTAGAAAAAATGTCAGTCCATGTATGGTACGCTCTCAAATATTCTTAAATGGCAGTTAGTCAGGAAAAGCTATGTGTAGGGGCAGGGAGGAAGAACACTCAGACACCAGAATGAAAGAAGGCAAACTCACATGGATTTCGGCACATAGTAGGTATACAGTAAACACAGTAGGAATGAGTAAATTAAAACTATTTGATAATATCAATTTATTCTTTGGGTGGCTTCCATGGAAAATAGAATATTCTGTTGAGCTTCATGGTTAACTGTGTTTATGGTGTTTCTTTAACATTTGCCCAAATTTGTGTGTGAGAGAAGGTGTATATACAACGTAAGGCAGACAAAGCCCTCAAAACGATATGAAAGAAACTCACTACTTGAATTTTGTTTTTCTAAAAAGTATATTTAAAATATTACCTCCCCATCAACAGGCTGCGGGGAAATATTTGTTTCACACAGTATCATTGGATAAGTAAGTGAAGCTTGGGTAGGTTGCGTCTTAAACAGGAGCAAGTCCCATATGTAACAGTCATTTTTCAATGGCAAATTTAAAGATACAGTTATAGGACATGAAAAGTACATGTGAAATGAACAGACTCTCATGGCATTTAAAAAATAAGCCAATCAGAATTTCAACTACAGTTAGCCAGGTCTGGCCTTCAGATCAGTGTATGGTATGTTCCCACAAGTCCTGCTAAAAGCCGATGATGGCAATACATTTGGCTTCTCAAAAATCATGGGCCCAACAAAATTGCATGCGGATTTTTAATGTAAATATCATTATGTTTTGTATTTAATTTTACTTACTAAAACTTCTTTCTTTTCTAATTCCCAAATATATTAAGAGAATTTAATTTTTATAAAACTTTTGCAATTCTAGTCATAAGGTAGGGGCTTCTGTGTATCCACAGGAAAGCACCCGAAACCTTCTTCTCACTTGCACACAGGGTCCTGCTTAAGAACTCGTATGTAAGAGTGTTACCCATATTGTTCAACAGTACCGTCCATCATCCTCACTTGGTGGAAAATGTTTCAAAAGCTCTAACTATTTCTTTACTTAAAATTTCTTTTTAACTTACCAAGTTTGGCTCTGGCAGAATAACCAGGAATACACCTGGTTTCCATTTTAAATTACTGAGACTTTTTGGGTTTTTTTCTTTGCTCAATAGACAGTTATATATACTTTACATTGCATTAAGTGGATTTTTCTCCATGATAAAGCCACAAGGAAATAATTTTCTGATTATACTTGAAGTGGAAGTATGTCTAATTAATTACAAGTATAAGGTAGTTTCTTTGGAGCAAAAGAAATAAACAATTAAAAGGAGAAATAAATATTTCTTCTTCCATTGCTGAGGTGTCTCTTGGTCCTCTCCTTGAGGTGTCTTCTTGAGGTGTTTCAAGGTCCCCTCTTTATTCCTGGGTTAAAGGTCATTTTGGGCCAAATGCACCACAGTGTTTAAGATGTTAATACCCCCTGACTCAGATTCCAATATTCAGACATCAATCCTAAATAAATAATATGACATGTGGAAATAGATTCACCTCAGTGTTATTTCTAATTGCAAAATTTAGAAAACATTCCAACATTAGGAAAATCGCTAAGTAAATGAATGCACCTTTAAATATGGCTTATTGTGCAGTAATGAAAGATGGTATTTTTCAAAAAAAATTGATGTCAGAAAAAAATTTCTCCTTCAAATTTTGAGTGAAAAAGTTGACTATGTAACTATATCCAGAAGAAATGCATTATAAAAAAACCCTGCACAGACACACTCTAAAATATTAATAGCAACTGTTTTCATACATGTTCTGTCTATATTTGTTATGGTTTTATAGTAAGCAATATTATTATTTTTAAAGAAATATTTTCTTTGAACAATAATTTTATTCTCATTACTAGAGTAGTATTTATCAATTTATTAAAAGAATTTTAAGAATAAATTTTTTATCTATTTGGAAATCAAATTTCCTTTGAGCTGTCTGAGCTTTATATAGCAACTCAGTCATGAATTTTCTGAACTGCTCTCAATAAATTTACCAAGTCACAAATAAATTCCTTAGAGAGCCAAAATTAAATATGGGAAATAATTTGCTTTCCCCAAATATAGGTAAAGCTACTGGGGAGGAAAACATCCATAATCATAATCATAATAATGTTATTTAAGTTCGGTTCATTTGCCCCATGTTTCAGGCGGGCCTCTGTCCCTCCCACCGGAAGTGGTCTTCCCCTCTGCCCCTCCCAAGCTCCTGCAGTTCTCTGAGTTCTTGTGTCCAGTGCCTTGTACACACCCTGACTTCAGCCGACTTTACGCTGTTGGAGTTCAGAAGTCATGTTCAGTCCTTGTAGGAGTAGCCAATAGATACTCATTATGTGGTGACTGATTAAATGAAATGTATTTATTATGAAAGCATTACTGACGAGATGGATGCATTTTGGTTTCTCAGGTCCAGAGCTTTGAAGAGGAGAGTGGTGATCCTCCCAACCTGACATCAGGAACTGTAGGTAAGAACGCATCCAGGTTTGCAGTTTCATCAATGGTCTTTCAGAAACGGAATGTAAGTAACTGCTACTCAACTTTCTTAAGATGCAGAACTGAAAGTGTTGCCAGGCAATGCCATACCTGTTACTACTACTATCTGCCACAACTGCATTTTCTATCTGCTACTATTAAAAACTTACTAGCAATGCAAATGTATGTGCCAATTTCAGAATACTACAGAAGTGTTTAATATGAGTGGCGCTAATTTAATCTGGTGCTTCTACCATTAACTCTATATGAGCTGGCCAGGACAGCAGCATGGGTTTCACACAGGACTGGTGCTAACCGTGAATACTTTCCTACTTCTACTGCCAACTGCTTGATGTTGTACAAGTCATACCATGAAACTGGGCCTCAGTTTTGGGCTTTTTACCCCTACCTGTTACAAAGAGTTAAGTACAGTTCATTTTTTCTCTGCCAACACATATCCTAAATTCAGTGATTGTATGACCTTCATATGAAACACTCAGGGGAAGCAGGAGGCCTAGATATAGTTTTCCAGATAATCTCTTAGAATGATCTTGTATTGTCCTAGGCAACAGAGAAGAGAGTCCGTTTCTACTCCTGGTTCTTATGCCCTCGTTCAGCCATCATTGTGATTCAGTATTCCCATCATCCTATAGCAGAGCTAAAAGTAGACAGGGATTAGTGAAGCAAAATAAAGCAGATGAAGCTAGTGTATTTTCTGGAAGAAAATATGCTAATTTTAATTTAATTTAATGTGATGTCAAACATCTTTTTCATTACAAAGTGTATGTATGGGCCTCGTTTTGCTAAATGCTATTTAGAAATTATGCCTTAGTAATTACAGGGTCCTTCTGATTACATAAATTGTTATCCAGCTCTCCGAAGTAATTACCACATAACCTGCATTGAGGTTTATAAGATAAAAATAAGCATCGGTTTTCCATCTAATTGAATACCCTCAATGAAGCTGGAGGCCCCCTGCCAATAAGAGCTGCCTTTGTTGACATTCAGTTAAGAGTTCTGTTTGTATCATGCAAGTCACCCCAATCATTTCCAAACATGACATGATTTGGGAAGTTAGGCAAAAGTACTAATCTACATTTAATCTCAAATTTAGAGAGGAAAGCAATATGGGTGAAGATTAGCCCAATGGAGAAAATCTGAATTACAGTTAAAACAAATGTGAGTTCATTACTTTCCCAAACAGTGTTGTTAACCCCCCCCCCAAAAAATAGGACTGAGGGGAAAAAAAATAAGTAAAACTAGTTCAATTAATGGAGAAAGGGGAAAATTATTACTTTGCTATCTATAGGAATGTATTAACTAACTAACTAACTAACTAACTAACTAACTATATATATATATATATATATATATATATATATATATATATGAAGGCATGTGAACTGTTTTGACCAATAGGGGGACATGGCAGAAGTGATTCCATGCTACTTCCAGACCATAGTCTTCAATCTACCTGGCTGCTTCCTGGGTCTTGGGATACCTGATCTCAGAACATTCTCTCTGGGAACTCAGCCTTTGTCTTGTAAAAAAAAAACAACACACTGTATGTGGATGCCACATGTAGGCACTCTGGTGAACAGCCTTGAACAGCTCTAAGAACAGTTAAAGTTAACTGTTAGTTAAATTAAGTTATATTTTTAAAATTATCTGAGTTCCAGGGACCTATGAGACAATATCAGAAGGTCAAATATACATGCAACTGTAGTCAGAAAAGAGAGAGATAGAAAGAATTGAACAGGAAAAAATGTGAAGAAATAATAGTGGAAAGTTTTCCAAATTCACTCAAAGATTTACATTTACATATTTAAGAAGCCCAGTAAATCCAAGTAGAACAAATACACAGAAAACTACACTTAAATGATATTATGATCAAATTGAAAAGTGTCAAAGATAGAAAATATTCAAAGCAGATGCAGAAAAATGACATACTGCATGCCAGGGAATAAAGATTTGAGTGACAAAGACTTCTCACTGAAAACAACAGAGATCAGAGGCCAGTGAACCAGATTTTACATGCAGCAAAGGTGCCCTCCGAGAGTAAACATAAAATGAAGACATTCCCAGGTAAAAGAAAGCAAGATACCATCATCAGCATACCTGCACTGCAAACAGTGCTAGAGGGATTTCTTCAGACTAAATGCAGACAGTGAATTGTGGTGTTTTCACCATATGTCAGCATAACGCCTGTGACCGTTACAGCACGGAGTGTGGGAAGGTTGCCTGATGGACCAGCACAACTACAGGGTGACATTATTCCATTAAGTGGCACAATACTAAATTTAAGCAGATTGTGAAATAGTAAGGATACAAAGCAACCACTAAAAATATTACACAAGTATACTAAAATGCTAAAAGGGAAATTAAAATATAATTCAAAAAATACAATGATGACAGTAGATGACAGGTCAAATACTGCAGGAGAATAACAGGATTATGAAGGTAGGAGACATATGAGAAGTTACTGAAGAACTAAGTGGAAAGAGAAATAAATATAACAAGAAAAATGTCAAGAAAGATAGATCCAAAAAATATTACATAGGTGTAACAGGTGGCTATGGTTAGATTCTTCACATCTTAGATTTGACTGGGGTTCTAAAAAAGGTTAATATCGATACAAAGCCGATGTGTTATAAATCTGTATGTGCAGCTTTCCCAAGGAAACTGTAGGGTCCAGTTCCACGAGTCTCAAATCTTTCAGCCCGTGGTGCACATTAAGTGGAGACACACTGAAACAAGACAGAAAAGATTGAAAACACTATTTCACTGGCAAACTCAAATGCCCACCTGTGCTCCCATTCCAGCATTTGGAGGAGGACTGGGGGTGCTAACTTTTAAGCCAGAGAAGTAAGAGGCCTCAAGGAGACTGACCACCTGCAGGGCCACTTCATTATATTTAACAGAAGCAGCCCCAGAGTGACAGGCCCTATTTTACATGCTTCATGTGCATTGCATCACTTAACCCTCAAAATAACATTGGAGGTGGGTGCTATTGTTATCCCTAATTATTAGATGACTCAACTGAAGCACAGGGAGGTTCAATACTTTCCATAGTCTCGGAGGTAGTAAACAGTAGTTCCAGGTTTCAAATTCAGGCCATCTAGCACCAGAGTCTGCTCCCTTAAACATGGCACATGCAACTTTGAAGGATGAAGGACCCCAGTGCCCTTGGAAGGCACCCGGCCCAGGCATAAGAATAATAATACGGACTGTGGAATGGACTACAACTCCAGGTTGACAGCTTCTCAAGAACAGGTCAAGATGGCAAGAGAAGAGTTGACCACCAAATTTCATAAGTTAGAAGGTGACCAGATACAGTAGGCCCTGGCTGGTGTGGCTCTGTGATTAGAGCATTGTCCCGTGCACCAAAAGGCTGTGCTCTTGACTCAGTCAGGGCACAGGTTGCAGGTTGAATTCCCAGTTGCGGCATGAAAAAATGTTCTCAGGTGAGCATAAAAAAGACGCAGTTGATGACAGGTCAGTGTTTAGTTTGCAGAAGTTTTTTTTTTCTAGTGGTACATAAATACTGAGAGTCTTAACATTAATGGTATCTAATACCATTTGATGGCAGTGGACATAAAGAGAAGGAAATGCCATCTGAGGGAACTGCGGACACTGTAGTGAGTCATATACACACGGCCATAACCATGTATATGTTATTAATTGGTTTCCAGTTTTGAGAATCTACAAATAGACAAACAGAAGACTTCATTCTGGTCATTGGACAAATTGAAGATATCAAACTGGACATTTTGAAGTCAGAAATGCCACTGTTGAGAAGTGGTAGATGGAAAGTCTAAAGGAAGGGTAGAGGAAAGGATATGAAAATCAATACAGACATTATTTTGAAAAAACAAGGCATTTTTATGTATTGATATGGAAAGGTCTCCAAAATATACAGTTGTTAAATGAGGGGAGAAAGTTACGTGCAAAAGATTCTGTGCAGACATCTCTTTGAGTTAAAAGAGTGTATCCATCTCTGCTGAGGGGGGAAGTGTGCACGGAATGCTCTAGAAGACTAAATGAAGAACCGTTAATGGCTATACCTTAACAGAAGGAAACTAACATGTTTTAAATTAATTGGCATCTTTTACTTTTCTTCTATTACCATGTGCATATGTTATTTTCATAACACCATTTAGCAAAAAATTCTGGCAATACTATAGGAAATTAACATAATAAAAATGGGAGGTTCTGTCATTGTTAATTTATTGCCCCATTCCCCATAACAACCAGTCCAAACATTTGTGCTTGTGTTATTTTTAATTTTTAAAAAACTTAAATGAAAATGATATATATTTATACAAATGATGATTTGATGTACATATAAGCAATGAAATAATACTGTAGTGAAGCTAATTAACGTATCATGTCTTCACACAGTGACCTTTTTTGTGTACATGATGAGTGAACCTGAAATCTCTCTCTCAAATTTCCAGTATTTAATACAGTGCTATTGCCTCTAGTCATTTTGCTGTGCCTTAGATGTCTACACTGACTCATCCTCCATCCCTGCCCTTTGACCAGCATCTTCTCCAAACAGAGAGACTTTCATATTCCTCTCCTCTTTTCCAGGCCAAACAGGGAATAATAAAAGGTGATAGAAAAGATATTAATATCATAATTGATCATATGCACTTAATAGAAAAATATTGAAGTAAGTATTCTTTGCCAGTGTTCTTTAAATATTTATTAAAATATTTATTAAAATATTTAACAATTATAAATGCAAAGATTATTTTTTTGATTTCTCACGCACATGTAACATATAGGTCACTGTTGTATATTTAAATGCAGTAATATTTAAATTCAACAATAAAAATATAGGCAACACTCTCCTCCTCCAAACAAAGAAAACAAAATACCAAACCCAAGGACTGAGTTCTCCAAATACAGAAAGTGCTAAGTGAAAACAATAAATGAGAATCACTTGAATGATAATAAATATTTTATTTAAAATTGGAGAATTGGAACA